AGTAAAAATGAAGCTATTATAATTATAAAACAAATTGTTGGATAAACTCGATGCAGCCCGTTTTATAGTTAAGAGCAGCGAATGAACAATTAGGAATTATTCTCACCCCTTTCTCGAAAACTTTAATATAAGCGAGTTTTCGTTGCTTACAAAATGCGATTCCGGTTAACGCTATTTGACAACTTTGACATTCGAATCTCGTGTGTCGTATATCGTAACCGCTAAACCGGTATTGTACGGACAGTAGACATAGCCGTTAACGTAGCGAAACACATGCGCAGTACACAAATAAAAAAATTCATAACCCTGATTCAGGTGACAAGTTGTCAAGTTGACTCAGAAATTTTCAAAAATGGGTCCTAATACAAATTCATACAGTGTATTGAAAATAATAAAATGAGGCATACATTGTTTTACAGAGTAAGGTGATCAAATTGCACTAGCTTTACTAACCACCTCAGCAAAATAATGTCACCGCTTTGGGTTGCCTGACAGAAATCTTGGGTTCGTTGTTCGTTTCGTTTATTCCAAAAATCAAAGTCCAATTAACACAGCAATAATTTATTCCATTTAACAATACACTCTGACACTAATTACTTTAATAACTAACTCAACAATTAAACTCTTACAACTCGCAATAATCACTATTTAAATCGTATCACAGTCAAACTTTAACTAACTTACAATTCAATGCCGGCCTTCTTATATATCCCTAAATCTATTCCTGTAAAATCTAGAATACACACTATAATCTTATTTTCCAGATTATAGTAGAATAATTCGCTAGATTCTTGACAGCCTGGCGGCGGACGCTGTTCTTCTGGCCTGGCATTAGCGATATCGTAACAATACAAATTCCTGAAACTTTATGTGGACTCTGCATTAAATTCGTTTGGAATTCTGAGTACTTCTACAAGTCTCAAGACATGGATTTTTTCGAAGCGAAATTTAACTTTACTACACTCGTTCTCTGACCACACATCTAGGTTGAACCTCCCCTAAAAGATCGCCTCTGTATTTAAATACACTGTATTTAATGTTGTTTTTCAACACTTTCAACAAGATTGCCTCTTCAAAATCAATTCGTCCTTCAACTTTTTCTAGCAAAATGTACAGAAAAACAGTAGTAAAATAAATTAAATTAAAACAATGCCGGGGGCTACCCTGTCAATTTTACTTGACTTTTTGTTGAGGTTAGAGTAATTGTTTACGGTGACGGTAAGCGGTTGTTGTTTCTTGCTCCGAAAACTATTCTTTTATATGTCAAATAGCGGCTATGGTTACGTATTCGTTAACCGTAGCGTTGGGGTTTACAAGAGCAACGAAAACTCCCTGTTTTCGGATTAACAAGGCATAAAACGTGTCCTAGCTTGAGAGAACTGATGCTGCCTTTTTGTTCTTGGGCCTTGTTAGGAGATATTTCCACCACAGGCACCACAAGCAGTAATTGATTAGCATTTTAATATTAAGTTTATCCGCTTCCTCTTTTACAATGACATTCTCTAAACTTCTGCATCCGAGGTGATATTTTCTTCTATTTCCCTTTTAGAACAGACCGTTGTTTTAATAATTGTGTGAACCGGCCTTCAAATGTCCAAAAAGAATAAATAATGATAAAAGTCCAACAAAATTGAAGAGAAATAAAGACGAACTCATCGTTTTATTTCAAATCATTTAAAGGAAACAGTTTCACATTAAAACTTCGAATTTCAACTTTCAGCTCAAACATTTCATAATAGCCACTTTGAAATTTTGGCGAATTGTTTCGTGACGGACAATCAAAATATATAAAGTTACGAACGACACCGCTGACTAAGAAGGAATTTCGTAATTGCTAACGGAATTTTAAACTGTGCAATGGAAAACTTGAAGCGTCAAAAGTACCCTGAAAACTGCCGAGCTATTTCTTAATGAAACCTTCTATCGAAAGTTGGAGGATGATACCGTGAATTGAAATTACCGAACTATTGTTCTTGAAATGTACCTAAGTTCGAAACTAAAAGGCTTTCAATAAATAAAAAACTTATTAGGGTACTTAGAAATTCCTTTTTATGTCGTTACCGTTTCAGTGATTTTGTGTGTGTTTTTTTTAAAGAAACTTGACAATATTTGCTGCTGCTGCTGGTGGAGAAGTCATTATTGTGTTATTGTTGTTGAAATGCTTATTCCTCTTTTAATGTGCAGACAAAGATAATATTTGTGTACACATCAACTGTACTTCTTAAGTGGTAGGCAACGTTTTATCGTTCTAATGCTAACCTAGCCACATACGGTCATATGACGACGTTGCAGTGACGTCCAAAGATATTGTTTATTAAATTTATGAGAGATACCTAGACATCATGCCATCGTTCAACAATTACCCGTAGGTTGTTTAAATTTACATAGGGTGAACGATGTTTCACCTGTACCTAAAGCCGCGTCCACACCTAAGTCGGCTTTGGGTGGCTTCTTTCGGCAGGTGTGGACATGCCAGATGGCTTATCTGGCGCGTCCACACCTGCCGCAAGAAGCCACCCGGCTCTGCCGATCTGCAATACCGACTTAGGTGTGGACGCGGCTTAACGCATGGTCGGAACATCGTTGTGCCAACGTTGTACTGCGACTGTAGGTGCATTTAATCCTAATACCACCACTATACACACCTATATATAGATGGGGTTGGAAAAAATGCTATCATAGGCGATCACCCGATACCGAGTATGATTATCTTCTATTCTATTCTTATTGTCGTCGATTGTGCGTTTTCTGATGACTATATAAACCAATTCTAGACCCGCACACTCTCCCATAGTCTTGGCATACCCAGTCTCTGGCCTACCCTGTCTCTTCCTCTGTTCTCTCGCTCCTTCCTGCGGTCCCTCTTTTCGATATCGTGCCTGCGTCGGTGTTCTTCAAAAGTTTGTGGTCCGTCGTGGAATTCTCGACCTCGACGCCATGTAGGCCCTCATGGCGTCGAGTAGTCCGCGACGGACCACATTTGCCGTCGTCTCCTTGTTGCTGGTATCAATGAGCCACATTGTCATATTTTCCTTCAGAACATATTTGTAGCGTCTCTGTCCCTTTCGTTTTCCCTTTTTCAGCTGACTGTAGAAAATCTGTCGTGGAAGACGTGTTTCGGGCATGCAGACGAGGTGACCTGTCCAGCGAAGTTGGTGCTCAATGACGAGGGCTTCTATGCTAGTTGTTTTGGCCTTCTCTGAAACGCTAATGTTCGTTAGTCGGTCTTGCCATTTATTCCGTAATATCCTTCTTAGGCATGGCTGGAGGTATTTTTTTAGGCTTTTTATGTGTCTTCTGTAGGTGGTCCATGTTTCGCAGCCATGTGTTAGTGTTGATATTACAACTGCATTGTAGACGTGAAGTTTGGTCCCCGCACTGATGTCGTGATTGTTGAAGACTCTCTCCAGAAGTCGCCCGAACGCCGCGCTGGCATAATTCAAGCGATGTTGGATGTCAGCGTTATTGGTTGTATTCGCTGACAGATGGCTTCCAAGGTATGGGTAGTGTTCTACTTGGAGAGTGGCGACTAGTATCCGGTGCGGGTTGGATGGGTTGGTGCAGGATCTGCGTGTTGTTAAAATTGACCTCTAGGCCGATTCTCATGTATGCCTGGTTGAATGCATTAATAATTAGCTGAAGATCTTCCTCTGTATTGGCCATCACGACGTTATCATCCGCATATTCAAGTTCAATTATCAATGTCGTCGATACTTTCGTCTTGGCTCGTAATCTGTTTAGGTTGAATAAGCCGCCATCAAATATGAACAGGACAAGGTCGACCCTTGATCCAATAAATAGAGAAAATAAAGTGAGTGCAATAACACAGCCTTGTTTAACGCCTTTAGTTATTTGAAAAGACTCTCTCTGTACAGCGTTGCTTAGGACGGTTGCATTCATATTATCATGCAGCATGCAACTAACCCAAACTAACCCAACCTTAGCCAATATCTTCCAAAGAGCTTTTCTGTTGAGCGAATAAAATGCTTTCTCTAAATCTATGAAAGCCATGCATATGGAGGGCGATTTTGTTTCCTGGATGTCAGCTGTACCTCAGTTGGGTCCAAAGCCACATTGTGTCTCTGGGAGATTCACTTCGGTAGTTGGGATTAAACGTTTTGATAATATCCTGGCGAATATCCGCCGCAACAGAAAGTGAAAATATCCCTTTATAGTTTCCACATTGAGCCTTGTCTCTCTTTTAAAAATGGTAACTATGAAGGCATCTCTAAAGTCGGCAGGTGATCCATATTTCACTTATTAGGATGTGGGTTTGGGCACTTAGTGTGGGGCCTCCTTGTTTAAAGAATTCAGCAGGAATGCCGTCAGTATCAACTATCAGCTGACTTATTGTTCCTCTAGTTGTCGATTGGCTTTTCAACCTCCTTTTATCTGATTGGAACCTCGCTCCAGTCTTCAGTTCTTGTTGTATTGGTTTCTGTGGAATTTCGTTGAAGATATCATTAATAATTTGTAATTTTCTGCTAAGTAGTTCCTGAAAGTGTTCCTTCCAACAAGAATTAATAAAAGTTTTATCGTTCTAATGCTAACTTAGTTGCAACGACATCCATATATTGTTAATTAAATTTATGAGGGATCGACATCATGCCATCGTTTAAAAATTAGCCCTAGGTTGCTTAAATTTTCATAGGGAGATTACGACGTTGCACCTAACGCCGGCCATATGTGCATGGTCAAAATATCGTTGTCTCAACGTTGTACTGCGACTGTAGGTGTTTATATTTAATCCTAACACCACTACTATAAGATCCATCCCTGATGTTGGAAAAAATGCAAAAAGATGGAAAAATGTTACTTGGGGTATTTTGTGCATAAAAGTCCAACATAGATTCGAAGCGCTTTTGGCTCTAAGCCATATGAATGCTTCATCGAAAATAGAGACCAGAAAGAGAGGCTTTCAAATCCTTTTCGAATGCCTCTCTCAACAAATTTTACTAAATATTTTGAAATACAATATGACGAAAATTTCCTTTTTTCAGGTGAACATCCTGAAGCAATGCAACATGGAGGCAATCAGCGCATGGGCCCCTCCATTGGAGTCCTCGCTTTCATTTCATACGTCCTACTGGCATACAGTTAAATGGCAACAGCGCAAAACTGAAAAAAAAAAATCTTGTAACATTTCGTGATTTCCAAAGCTGTCGAACTTTTTGATAGAATAGGGCGGCCGTTTTAACATTTCAGAACTTCAAAATAATGCATTTAATAGTTTTTGTATCAAAGAATTTTTTTTCCAATTAGGTATATATCATATTTGCGATGGGGTCAAATTTTAAAAATATGTGGGCTTGGTTATAGTTGAGGAAACGGCAACATGTTGCCTTTCTTAATTTGTAATTTTTTTGAAAGGGGACTGAGTACAATCTAAACAGAAATGCTTTTTGAGTGAGGTCCTGACCCGCTGAACAAAAAAAATTGGACGGAAATAATAATTATGCATAAATTTTATGGCGGATTTGCTTTTGTGGGCGAATTATAAAACATTTTTTTTGTGTGTATTCTTGATTTACATAATCAGTTTCATTTAATTCAAAAACATTAGCAGTAGGTTTTAGTATCTGAACAAAAATTTTAAATATAGGTAGGTACATTTACATAAACTTTCATTTATTTTCCGAAGATTTTGCTAAAATGGCTGTCCTATATTATAATACTTCAGGCTGACTAGATCTTTGACATGTGCATGTTTCCCTTCAATTCTACTAAGAAAAAAATCACATACCCATAATATGTAACGTAAAAGCTCTCCCTATAAAATGAAAAAAATTTACAAAAATAAAAATACCAGGAAAATTTTTACGGTACTTAAGTACATTCGTACAATGGTCGGTAGATTGTGATAAAATAAAACGAAAAGAATTTGTAAACAGGCAGTTTAGTCGAGTAAAGTGTTTTTGAGTAAATCTAATGAAGGGGAGAATACCAATTTTTCAAATTACAATAAATCCCAATGTGTAAATTGTAATCATATTCAATTGGGTAGTTGTATAGTTTTGATAAACTGCCAACACCCTTCAGTCATGCATAATGTATGTGTTTTCTACCAATCCTTGTACAAGCAATGCTGTGTAAGATAAAAGATGTAGCATTTGAAATCATTATTTATTTAATTTTCATTGTAAGTGTAAAGACTTTTAGGGTTTTAGGGTTTTGAATTTATTATTTATTGAAGCTCTTCTTTAAAAATCCATGAATTCAAGACCTAGCGATGAGAAGTTCAGTGCTCATATTAAATCTTGTATATACCTACCTAGTTATATCCTTGAAACATAAAATTTTAATATTTAGTAGACAAATCAAGAAAGAAATATATAGACACATTTATAAAAAAAAGGGAAGTAATGAGGTTAGTTTGATGTAGGTAATTAAGTTACATTTTAAAATTTTTGTTCGATAATATGGAAGAAGAAGATTTGCTATACAAAGTACCTATTCTTTTTTGTAATGATTCAGTATAGGCCAAGCAATGAAGGAAGTTTACCTCAACATAATTAGAAGTTAACATTTTTTGGGGGGGATCGGTCCATTTTCATGTGGTTAATAACATATTAAGTTTACGACATTGTACTTCCATAGGGTTTTTAGTTAGGGGTGGTTTTTAGGGGTAATTTGCGGTTTATGGAGAACGCTGCTCAAAGGGATGGACCAATAGCAAAAAGTTTCAAATGATTGTTGTAGCTGAAGTTTTTTGCTATAAAAAACTCAGCGACAGCACCCCTCTATCTTCTATAGTTGTTTTTCTGCAGCGTCTTGAATAGTAGCATGTTTTTATTCAAGGTCACTGAATCAACGTTTTGCCTATTCCCGTGCATTTGATGCAACAGCGGCTGAATGCATAATTCGATTTCAATTTTTCAAACACCACATTATTGCTAATAAAATGCACTCTCCAATGCTTTTTTTTTCGAATTTTTTGCTTGAAAATTAAGCGAGCATGGACTTGCCTAATGTGCGAGGAAGTTGTAAATTACATCGAAAACTACCCCTTTTTTTCATTCACTGTAATTTCTAAACGGGGCCAAATATTGGGTGACAGTTTTCAACAATCGGCAGCCCATTTATTCCTCTCATAATGCCCCAGCGGATTTTTTTTTCGTTAATTACTCAATGACTTATTGGCCTGAACACGTCGCGCAGAATTTTTCAAAAAGTCAAAAAAAATTTAAAATTGTCGCACAGCGCTGAAATTTGGTATGGTGGGCTTTATTTATTGTTCTTATGAATATACTGCAATTTTAATTGCTTCACATGACTGCTGCAACAATTAGAATTGCAGTATATTCATGAGAACAATAAATAAAGCCAATCGTACCAAATTTCAGCGCTGTGCGACAATTTTAATTTTTTTTACTTTTTGAAAAATTCCGCGCGACGTGTTCAGGCCAATAAGTCATTGAGTAATTAACGAAAAAAAAAATCCGCTGGGACATTATGAGAGGAATAAATGGGCTGCCGATTGTTGAAAACTGTCACCAAATATTTGGCCCCGTTTAGACATTACAGTGAATGCAAGAAAGGGGTAGTTTTTGATGCAATTAACAACTTCCGCGCACATTAGGAGAGTCCGTGCTCGCTTAATTTTCAAGCAAAAAAATTCGAACAAAAAAGCATTGGAGAGTGCATTTCATTAGCAATAATTTGGTGTTTGAAAAATGAAATTGGATTATGCATTCGGCCGCTGTTGCATCAAATGCGCGGGAACAGGCAAAACGTTGATTCAGTGACCTTGAATAAAAACATGCAACTATTCAAGACGCTGCAGAAAAAAAACTATAGAAGATAAAGGGATGCTGTCACTGAGTTTTTTATAGCAAAAAACTTCACCTACAACAATCATTTGAAACTTTTTGCTATTGGTCCATCCCTTTGAGCAGCGTTCTCCATAAACCGCAAATTACCCCTAAAAACCACCCCTAACTAAAAACCCTATGGAAGTACAATGTTGTAAACTTAATATGTTATTAAGCACATGAAAATGGACCGATCCCCCCCAAAAAATGTTAACTTCTAATTATGTTGAGGTAAACTTCCTTCATTGCTTGGCCTATACTGAATCATTACAAAAAAGAATAGGTACTTTGTATAGCAAATCTTCTTCTAAAAAACTTCAGCTACAATAATCATTCGAAACTTTTTGCTATTGGTCCATCCCTTTGAGCAGCGTTCTCCATAAACCGCAAATTACCCCTAAAAACCACCCCCAACTAAAAACCCTATGGAAGTACAAGGTCGCAAACTTAATATGTTATTAAGCACATGAAAATGGACCGATCCCCCTCAAAAAATGTTAACTTCTAATTATGTTGAGGTAAACCCTCTTTTCAGATCCCCGTTTCTTGGACTAGTATAGTTTTTTGGATTATTAGGATCATTTGGCTGTAGAGTTCGAAAATATACCTGCAGTACCTACTTCTTTTTAACTAATGATAGGTAGGTACCACTGACTTAATGGCTAGCTGGGCTCTCTTAGCCATCTCAAGCTATGTAAGTAGGTACATGAAGAAAAAAAAAAACAAAATATATATATTTATATGTGTCCATTTAGTGCGATATCGGACGATATCTCGTTACAGGGTGATGCAAGCAAAAAAAATTAAATTTCAAAGTTGTTTGATACTCTAAGCGGTGCATTAGTTAAAAATATTTTTGAATATATAGGGTGCTCTGTAAATGAGGTATGCGACAGAACTTTGTTATTTTAAATAGAACACCCCATATCTTATATTACTTAAATGGATCGTCCTAAATAAAATCTTACATACTTTTTATTAAGAATTACCCATACCAAAACTCAACCTTTTTTGAAATATTTGAAGTTTTTTTCAAAAAATCGCAGTTTGCATAATGTCAACAAAAACCAACATATTTCATTCATTTGAGATCCTTGAAGCTAAATCTTTTGCAGGTTGCTAATGCATATCTAGTCATATTCACTACATGGTCCTATGAAAATCTGATAACACTCTATAGGGTGTTCGCAATACTGTACACAAAACCAGACATTTCAAACAACCATAGATCATTTTTTTATTAATGGAATGCTCTTTATTTTTTGTTTAAATTTTTTTACCAAGCAATAAACTTCATATTTTATAAAATATCACCTCTACTTAACTGTGATGTTTATCGAGTCTCTTAAACTTTTTTCTATATTCTCCCTTAAAATCCAAAATAGTCACGTGTCAATTGATTTTTACGTAGGTAATTATTATTTCCACGGCAACAATTTTTCTAATTCACATATGACTATTGTGGATTTTAAGAAAGAAATTAGAAAAAAGTTCAAGAAACTCGATATTATCACAGTTAAGCACAGGACATACTTTATAAATAAGGAAGCTTATTGCTTGGTAAAAAAGTTAAGACAAAAAAATAAAGGATATTCCATTTAAAAAAAATGAGCTATGGTTGTTTGAAATTTCTGGTTTTGTGTACAGTATTGCGAACACCCTGTAGAATGTTATAAGATTTTCATAGGACAATGACGTAAATATAGGTATGCACTAACAACCTGCAAAAGATTTAGCTTATAGTATCTCAAATGAATGAAATATGTTGGTTTTTGCTGACACATGCAAACTGAGATTTTTTATAAAATAGGTATTAAATATTTCAAAAACGGTCGAGTTTTGGTAAAGGTAATTCCGAACAAAAAGTATGTAGGATTTTTAGGACGATCCATTAATGTATTAAAATATAGGGTGTTCTATTTAAAATAACAAAGTTCTATCACATACTACCCCATTTTCGGAGCACCCTGTATGCTCAAAAATATTTTTAACTAATGCACCTTAGAGTATGAAACATCTCTTTGTGATTTAATTTGTTTTTCTTCTGATATCGCACTAAGTGGACACCCTGTATATATTCAGACATTTGCAGAAGAACGCCGAAACATGTCAGAACGGGGAAACAGTGCAGCCTACGTACAACACCTTTTTTTTAGGGGTTAAAGGTATTTTTCAATTCACCTACCGGTGGCGCCAGAGGTTTGACATTTTAAAGAGTAGTGATACCTAATTGTAATTCTGTGCTAATAGGTACCGTTGTGGCCATTGGAATTGGCACACACTTTTTGAACGCACCTCGTATTGCATCAAAATCTGACTTTTTTATCAAGCCGGTAATTCCAAAATTGTGTCAAAGTGATAAGTCAGTGGTGAACTAGAACAGTTGTAGTGAGTTTTATTAGTATCTTTCATAATCATCATATTACACACGCCACTGACTACTTTTGTTGGTTACAGTTTTGGCTTTATACAGAGCGCGTTCAAAAAGTTTGTGCAAATTCCAATGGCCACAACTTTACCCACTACCCTAATAAAAACTACGAACTCCAAATAGCGCTCTCGCGCGATTTTTTTTTTTTCGAAATACCAAAGCAATCTTCGATTGTTTTTTTTTTTTGAAGACCCGATACCTAGTCCTTGCCAAGAATTTAGGGTCATCTACCCCTCACATGGTATAATGAATAATTGAAACTTGATCAAATACAAAGTGGTTACATTCTAGTTCAAACTGATTTGTGATAAAATGAAGAAACTATAAATACCATCCTAAGAAATAACCATCCCTGCGTGAAAAATAAACCTATACCTACTCAAGAAATTGATTTGAAAAAAAAATAAATAACAAATAGATGTTAATGAACGTATGGTTTTTATTATTAAGAAAAGGTATATATAGTATATTTATAGCAACAATTGAATTTCAAAATATCTGGAAGATCTCTTTCTATAGTAATGAACCTATTTGTAACTTACTAACATGTTATCTAATACAGCATTGATAGATATAAGTAGCTTGTATTCAAATAGATCACCACAAATCATTTAGATCATTGTCACTGATGAAAATGGGAGCCTTCTTTCGTTTCTTTGGCTATACCCACTTTTGTTTTTGGAAATTAGAGTAGAAACTCAGTTGTTAAAAAAGTTTTATTAGAAAACTAATCTTTGGAAAACTTTTTTTTTTACTTGACCAAAAAGACTTAAGCGGTTCAGTCCAATACATGGCACCGTTTATATTGTTGAATTTCTGGTTTCTAGAGTATGTATTTCCCAGAAATTTATTTATGAAGGCCTGTTTTTGAGATAATAATGGCCGTCGAGAATGTACTTTTCCACTGGCCAGTTCGAGCTTGAGATAAAGTTGCTTTCTCAAATTATCTTTTGATTATATTAGTATCAAATAAGACATAAAAAAACAAGATAAAAATCGGCACCCAAATTTTTAGGGTACCTACCTACTAGGTATTTATCCTAAAAGTTTGTAACAGCTGGGTATTCTTGATTTACATTTACTAGAAATAATACCTAACCTTTGGATTTGCTGTATGAAATGCTGCATCAAAAACAAAATGTCTTATTAATTCGGATGGTCTCTAAATGATTCGTGATCTATTTAATCTTAGATATCGATACATCTTTCACCACCCTCATTCCTTTTTATATGTATGATAAACCTAATTATATGACACTCTAGTATTAAAAAAGATAAAAAAAAAATATGATAAAAATAAAAATTCTCAATGTGAACTGTATATATTAAGTAATATTTAAGCAAAATATGGCAAAGTATATAGGGATAAAGTCAAATATCGTTTATTTATTTTCTTAAGTTCAAAAACACATTTATGTAATATAAACTATATATTATTGTAAAATGGTGTGATAAACCCCCAATAGATCCCCAATCCCCACGTTGACAACTGATCACACCCACACTATTAATTTTAAATAAAGTAATTGAGTTTTATATTTGGTGTTTCAGTATTTTAAACCCCTCAAACTTCGTTCGAAAGAAAATACTAACCATTCATGAACCACTGAAAATTAAAGGAGTAAGAGAGATACAAGAACTTAAATTGTACTAACTTCGTTGAACAGAGGCTGTAATGAGTGGCAGTTTTAAAGGCGTACAAGGCTTATCCAAGGATTCTTCTTCATTTTTTGCAATTATTGCTTGTCAACGATCGGACAGTTTTTTATTCCACACTACAAAAAATTTAGGCTTCACGTCGATTTCTTATTGAGGATACAAAATGAAGCACATTCAAGAGAATGGAGTAGATGTGAAATAACCTCCCAACCAAGCCTTCTTAACGGGATGCAAATGTCATAATAAAATCTCACTATACTGATACTTGAGCCAGAAGTAAAAAAAAAGCTTTACAATCTCGCTTAAACTTATCATTAGGAAACCCATTTATATCATCATATATTCTGGCAACATCAATTTTCTGACTGCATTCCTAAGTATTCTCTCTTGATCATCCAAATTTTTAACGGCAATTGATTGAACAACTGCCCACCAACAAATACAACAGTGTCTCGCCTGTGAAGAAGCAGAATGTCGGCCGAGTACTATAATTATGCTGTGAATAAGACATACCTAATAGTTCAAGACCAGCCTTCAGTTTCATCAAATTTTGTCTGCACATGTAGTTCTCAGTATTCCGGATTCATGCAGAAATATTAGTTCAACAGGATATTTTAGTAAATAATACGATAGAAGTTTCATATAAAAATATTTAGTCAATACCTATTGGATACGCCTGAAAAAATACATTTATTCAAACTTAAATTAGATTTACCTTAACTAAATTTCATTTAATTATATAAAAAAGTATAGTAGGCACTAAACAATAAAATACTTGTTTGTCTATTATAAAGTGAAAAAAAAAATTCCAATCATGTAGGTATACGTACCTACCTATGTATATGTATACATATTGGTCTATTCTGAGATTTGAATTTATAATAAAACTAAGAAACTAAGGGCTGAAGACAATTATCAATCACCAATTATTGTTTTCAAAAACACGCCGCCTTAAGGACATTTCCTGTCAATCAGTGCCTTGCCTGCTTCCTCATATTCCTGCATAGAGACCCACATTTGTTGGAATGCACCTATTGATGCTAGAATTGATCCACCCAGCCATGCGCCAAATCGCCTTTCTATTGTTCCATTGGCTGAGATCATTTTTAGTCTCATGGAGCCAGGGATTCTTGATTGCAGGTCTCGGCTGAGGCGATCAGTGAATCCCTAAACAAAACAAAAAATGCATTCAATATTGTGAACTATAGTGAGATTAGAGCATCATTTCCAATGTTGGTATTTATTATCCCAAGAAAGAAAAAGATGTGAAAATACAAATAGTTTATGGTAACATACAAACCTGAAGCAATGAGTTTCCTCCTGTTAAAACAACGGAATTGTATAAGGCAGGCCTTATGTCCACATCACACATACCGACACTTGTAGCAGCTGAGGAAAAGTAAAACACAAATAGTAATGTAAGTTCTCACAATAGTATGCATATACAGGGTGTCCCAGGGAAAACAGTCCACCCCGATTTATTGGATTTGGGATGAGAATCTGGAAAAACGCTCGGACACGTCGATTTTTGATTTGAGGGGGAACTATTTTTCAGTTTTTCTCATCCCCGTAGCTTCAACCCCCTAGCTAGGGAAAGAACAACCCCCAAATTTGAATAGGGAATAGGGATTGTGTCATGACTCTTTTTAAAGGTCTCATCGAGTTGTTTATTGCCCCAGAATTTCTTCTCATTATTTTCATCCGTAGCGAAATGACAGCTTGTCAAAATCTTGGAAATAGACTATTAGTTTTAGTGGGAGTAAAACCGATAGTTACCTCCCTTCATAAAAATACTTGAAATTGAAGTTTTTTATTATTATTATTAATGAAGTGCACATGAGAATTGTAAAATGTAGGTATTTTTACTCGTATTTTTATTAAGGGAGGCAAGTACCGCTTTTACTCCTACTAAAACAATAGTCTATTTCCAAGATTTTGAGAAGCTGTCATTTCGTTACGGATGAAAATAATAAGATGAAATTCTAGAGCCATAAAGAAATCGATGAGACCTTTAAAAAGAGATATGACACGAGCCCTATTCCTTATTCAAATTTGAGGGGTTGTTCTTCCCCTAGCTAGGGGGTTGAAGCTACGGGGATTAAAAAAACTGAAAAATAGTTCCCCCTCAAATCAAACGTGGAAGTGTCCGAGCGTTTTTCCAGATTCTCATCCCAAATCCAATAAATCGGGGTGGACTGTTTTCCCTGGAACTCCCTGTATGTACAGTGAGCACGTAAAGGTTAGAATAAAATCGATAAAATATACAGGGTTATCTTCCAAAAAACCTCGGACGCGTCGATTTTTGATTTTAGTGGCCGTTTTTTTGATGATGATATCATGTTTCCATGGTGACCCAGAAACAATTTATGACAGCTAACTAAGGGTACGCACACAAAGAAAGCAGGCAACCTGCTGGTAACAAGCGCTTATAAGCACCAATAATTAAATCCACGTTTAAATGCACCTGCAGACAGATAAAGCAGATCGGTGCTTGTTGCTAGTGCAGATCGGCGCCGACTTTCTACAGGAATGAGTTTTTAGTTCTTGGTTGCTGGTCGGAGTTGGACTCGCATCGATAATGGATGTCGAATTACTAATCTCTGCGATCTTTCAAAGAAATTAAATGTAGGACAAACGACTTAAGTCCCACAGCAACAGGATATAGTGCAGAAGGAATAAATGGCGATATTCACCATAAAGTTTTCGTTCACGATTTACTGGATGTATACCTTGCTCCGTGCGTTGCATCATCCTTAGGAATTTATTTTCCGTCAATAAAAAGTCTACCCAGACAAGAATGTATAATCGGTTTTGCTCTAAAACTAACCGTTAAGGTTTTACAGCCTGTCAAAGTTGCAAAAAAGTCAATTTTCAACTGTCAATATTTCCGAAACAGTTGAAGATAGGTATAGGACATGATACTTAGAATAGGTTCAGAATATTGCGTAGAATTTGAAAATGAAATGAATGAAATCAAATGAAATTGGTGCTTTCATTTAAAAAAATATAGTAAGCTGTCATGACTTGTTTATGGGTCACACATGACAGAATCATCAAAAAAACGGCCACTAAAATCAGAAATCGACGTATCCGCTACCTTCAAAAAAAAAAAGTTCAACCCTGTATATTTTATGGATTTTATAAAACATTTACATGCTCATTGTATACATATTTATTTATTTTTACCTATATTTCCTGCTCCTAACATGGCATGGTCAAACAATCCTTCTGCAATTTTAAAGCGTTCATTGTTAAAATCTTGATGATATCCACTGGGGAACTCATAGTGAACTGCTGGAATATTCGACAAAATTCTTTCATCATATGGACCTTCAGAAACCTAGCATATAAACAATCTCTTATCTCAAATGTGCGATCCTTTGCAAATTGAATCTTACCTGGAGTACTGTCTGTTGATAATCTACAACTGTCCGTTTTACCATGTATGACATCCATGAATTAGACACTTGGAAATTGAGCTTCCTTCTTGTGTATCTAGGCTTGTCCTTCTCCCTAACAACATCTTTTGCTACTATCATAGTGGCCGGTGTCAAATCTATACCCATTTGTTCTAACATTTCCCTTGCCCTGTAGTTGAAATAAATACATTAAACTTTTTTTGTGAAAAATATAAAGGGCACTAATTAACAAGAATCTAAGACCTATTAACACAATAAAAATAAATATGATGAAAGACAATGAGATTGAGCAAATAAAAATCGAATAAATAACACAGAAACTTCTCTAAGAGAAGTAGGAAGAACTATTTCTAAACATCGATTCTAACCGTAATAATATGACAAACGACTACTTTCTTTCTGAATTTCTAGAACAGGAACAATTAGAATTCCTTTTGAACATGTCACTTTATTCCATTCAACACAGTACCTCCTTTAACAACAGGTAAATTTACACCAAACCACTCCCTTATTATACAAGTTGAGTTTTCATTTATTATTAAACCAAACATCAAAATAAATAATAAATATCAACCCAATACAAGAAATGGATTATCTAAATTCTTTAACATGGTGAGCAATATAAATTAGGATTTCATAAATTATAGAAATTTCTCAACAGAGGAAAAACCTAAACTATTTGTACTCTTTCTTCAAAATAATATAAAAGCGGCGTTTCCTGTTGTTGAAATGAAAAATTAAGCACCTGGATCAAACTTTACCTAGCTTAATGATGAATTAAGAGAAAAAAGAGGTCTTCTGAATTTTTTTCACAGATCTTGCTGACCAGAGAAAATTTCCTATCCTCCTAGATTTAAAAAGTAAACTCAGACAATCATACCACGAATATCTAAAAAGTGCCAAATTAAGAGCATACAACACTTATCCTACAAATTATAACTTTAATCCTAAAGCCATATGGAATGTAGTAACTGCAAATACAAAAGTATTAAAGAACAAACCTAAACCTATAAATCATATCTCACCTAATGAATTTAATAATTTTTTTCTTCTACAATAGCATCTGAAATTATAAAGGAGTTGCCTCCTTTCCAATTGCCATCTGAAAACTACCCTAATCAATTTACCTTTCAACTAATCTTTCCAAAGCATGAATTCACATTTACTGAGATAACAATTATTGAACTGCGTGACCTAATCAAATCCTTTAAAAATAAAAATAGCAGAGACTCCTATGGAACTCAACTGATCAAACACATTGTAAATATCATTGTTAATCCTTTAGTGAAAATTTTGAATTTGTGTCTACGAGATTCAGTTTTTCCTAGTGCACTCAAAATCTCTAGAGTGGTACCTATTTATAAAAAGGGCCCACCACAGAAGAACCTAACAAATTTCCGGCCAATATCAATTATTGTTCCTTTCTTCTCCAAAATATTTGAGAAAGCTTTAAAATCTAGAATTACCAACTATTTTGAAATACATAATCTTTTTAGTAGTAAACAGTTTGAGTTCAGAAATGCAAAATCAACAACAATGGCTATTAACCAATTTATTGAATTAGTAAATGAGGGTCTCAAGCGGGGAGAATACGCTACTGCCACATTCTGTGATTTGAGCAAGGCGGTCGATTGTGTACCCTTCGCCACTCTTGCAATGAAACAAAAGCATTATAATTTTTCACTTTCAAGTATTAAATTGATAGAATCTTATCCTGTGGGCAGATCTTAAGTAGTTGATATTATTGGCCTGCAATCTGGATTCTGTGAATTACAATATGGTGTCCCACAAGGATCAGTGTTGGGACCGCTGCTCTTACTGGTCTATATTAACGACCTGGAGTGCAGCGACCCCTTTACATCTATACTTGAAATGTAGATTTGCATTGTCCAAATGAACCAGTAATGTTTTTAGAGGTGAAACTGGATTCAAAGCTTTTATGGGGTGCCCACATCGAATATATATGTCCAAAAATTTCTTCTGGCGTTTTTGCACTTCAAAGTTTAACTAGAAATGTTTCTCCAGTGGTTGCTAGATCAGTATATTTTGTGTGTGTCCATTCTAGGATATCTTATGGTATCCTAATCTGGGGGCATGTCTCTGATGCGAGCCGTGTTTTTTCCCTTCAGAGAAGGGCAATAAGAATCCTAAAGGATTTGCACTACAGAGCTGATTGTAAAATGTATTTCTCCAGACTAAATATCTTAACAGTTCCTTGCCTATATATTTTTATTAGCTACTTGTTACATGTAAAAGCAAATCTTGGAGATTATGAGAGGTTTGAAAATGTTCACTCCCACTTAACTAGGAATAATAGCAACATTTACACTGATTTTCATGGAATAAATCGTATGAAAACAGGGGTATCTTTCTATGGACCTCTGTTTTACAGGGTGTCCTTAGATAAACTGATACATTTTGCAGGTAAATATCTCGAAAACGGGAAAAGATAACGAGATGCGGTTTGTTCCGGGAGAATAGGGATTTTTTAAAGTTTTTTTTCACATTATTACCGAATCCTGAAATTTGCGAAAATTTGGTTTTACAGACATGCGATTTTTTGAAATAAAATTACTGCCTTATTTTTAATGAAACACCCTGTATCTTTTGTCATCGTCAGAAAGCCTAATTTTTCTACTTTACAAAAATGTATAATTTTTTTCAATTATCTTGAACTTGGATCATGAAAATTGCACTTTGTTGAAGGGAATACCATCGACTAACCAAAAAAAGAGAATTAATTTGTGCTAATACTTTTATTAACTAATTAGCACATAGTCAACTAATAATACAAGTATTAAACACAAATAAGTGCATATAAAACACAAATTAATAATTATCATTTTTTTTTTTGGCCAGTCGATGGTACGCTCTTCAACCAAGTGCAATTTTTACGATTCAATTTCATGATAATGGAAAAAAAGCATAAATTTTTGTGAAGTAGAAAAGTCACGCATTCTGACGATGACAAAATATACCGGGTGTTTCATCAAGAATAAGGCAGTATGTAATTATTTCAAAAAATCGAATGTCTGTAAAACTAAATTTCAGGATTCGTCAATACCATGAAAAAAAACTTTAAAAAATCCTTATTCTTCCAGAACAAACCGCATCCCGTTATCTTTTCTCGTTATCGAGATATTCACCTTCAAAATGTGTCAGTTTATCTAAGGACACCCTGTATAACAAATTGCCTCTCCACGCAAGGTCCTTCCCGATTCAAGGCTTCGAAACAAGAATCAAAGAGTACCTTATTTAAAAAAGTTTTTATCTATCTTTTTTTTTGACTTGTGTGAAACCTTTGTTATAGGCGGTTACACACGGACGTGGATGTCTGAAAACATGTACGCACATACATGAACGTGCAAACAAAAACATCAATGTGTATGCAAAATTCCGTCGCGTTTTTGAATGTGCAATTTTGTATGCACACTCGGAACACTGTAGCAAGAATAGCAAGACTGCAGTTTTGTGAGAGCATCTGTACAAAAGCGCCATGCACGTTGTTGTTTGCACGTTGATGTTTGCACGTTGATGTATGCACGTATATGTATTAAGACATCCACGTCCGTGTGTAACCGCCCTATGGCATCAATAAATATTTTGTATTTGTATTTGTAATTGCATTATACCCCTCGATTATATTATACCAGATTTAGATTTAATTTTTTTGTTTTCTTTTTTAATAGTACATGTGAAAGACTATTTTTCCCCTGATTTTCCCTGGTTCACAACCTAAAACTAATCGCTCACGATTATTTCTTCCCATTTACCAGAGGCAAAAATCAGTCCTCTTAAGAGTACGCTTCTCGATGCTGAAAATATAGATATTTCGCGCTCACGATTATGCTATTTTAATAAAAACAGTTGCATCTAGGAAATTTTAACAAAAACTGTTTTCAAGGATATACTTTTGTGCTTGTTTGACCAGTGAAATTTTTTTGATTTTTCTCATTTTATGAAAAACACTTTTCATACAATGCAGCATCGAGTAGCGCACCCTTAAAATTAATTTCTGAAGGCTAGAATTATCTGCAATAGGCTCTTCTGAACTCTTGACAAACCATTAACCAAAAGGCGTTCCAAATAGCAATTACAGTTGCCAAGGCAAGCATTCAAGTATTTTAAATTTGGGAAAAACTATGTAGCTACATAAACAATTGTAATTTTAGGTACATTGTACAAATTGGCCTCAATTTGCCTCCGATTTGTCTTTAGTCGACAAATGGTTGACTGAAGACAAATGTGAGTTCATCTTTTCCTATAAAAAACAAATAGTTATGTAAGTACATCCGAGCCACAATATCATTATTAATTTTAAGACATATTATAAGAGGTATCTCATTTTCGCATCAAATTGGAAGCACTTCTCTTTTAATAATATTAATATTATTTACCTCAAAATCAAATAGTCCCCTCCAAGTGGTGATTTTACCACTGCGTTTGTTATAACATAACCATCCAAAACAGGTACAGCCGAGGTATGAGTGGCACCACTGTCTATTACTAAAGCAGTAGATCTTCCATTTCCAAATGCTGCTAAAGCTGCATTTTTAACAAGGAAAAAAGCAGGTACTTTGTATTTTTCAAACATGATTTCAGTCAATTTTTCCCGTTTGGCTCTTACATTCCATGGAGACTCAGAGAATATGACTGGATGATATTGCGATACAGATTGGATGACCTATAAAATATATAACTTATATCAGAACATTCACAGTAAGAGCAAATGGGGTGTTATCTGGGCAAGATAAATTATTGAGGGGTGCCTCAAGGTTCTGCCATTTCTTGACCCTTCACTGTTTTTTATCTACATCAGTGACTTAGCAATTGACCTACAGACTGGTATTATATGCTTTGCTGATGATACAAAGCTTTATTGCAATTGAACACATGACAGAAACTAAAAGAAGATCTTCACAGTGTTTTTCATTGGACTAATGAAAGGATGCTTACTGAGAGCAAATGCACTGTTCTGCATTTTCGTAAAAATAACCAAAAGATAGAATATACAATTGGAACCAGTGTAGTTGCAGAAGTCAGCCAATGAAGGGATTTGGCAGTTATTGTTAGTATGGATTCAAAATGGGTGCCACACATTGTATGCAAGACTAAAAGTGCAAAAATCTTTGGCGACGATTCTGTAGAAATGATAGAAAATATTTATAAAACTTTTGTGCATGCTGTATGGAGCCCCTATTATCGAACCAATTTAAAGGAGAATTACTATGATACTTCCAGAAGTGAGCCATCTATACCCAGAACGACTTCAAGGATTTGGACTAACATTTAGCAAGAGCTAATAAAGAGGTGATCTCATTGAAAACTTTAAAGTAGGTACTTTCTAGTTACTTGAGCCCAAAAATCGATATGGTACTCTTTCAAATTTCCCATACACGAGAATAATTGTGCTACCACTCAAAAAAACTTAACAAAGAAAAATCTGTTCTACTTTTGAGAAAGAACTTTTTAGGTAATAAAGTTGTACTTATATAAATAAAAAAGCCTTCAGGAATCAATTATTGTAAATACATCAATTGTCAACGTCTTCAAGAAATCTCTGGATAAAATATGATCAACCAGTAAGAAATCAACTTATTCACTACATGATGTAACCTAAATACCTAAATAAATATCAACTATAAAATTAATTACTAAAGTGTATAAAAAAATGAGCTTAAAAATTTAGGTATGCATTAAAACGAGCATTAAAAAGTACTATAAAATTGCAATGGAATTATTGGTTTGAACTGCTGTACATTGCTTACAATAATGAGAATAATAATAATTATTCTTGTAACACACCAGATATACTCGATTTTGTACCTCAATGCTTACTTACCTAAATATATAATTTTTCAATAATTGGATGTTTTTGCACCAAACTTACAGAATAAAATTAGGTAAGTCTTATGAATAGTTGGGATAAATCATGGGTTATTTGAACTCACCTTATCATATGAATAATCTAGCACTTTTTCAAACATATCCCAATTCTCAATCATTCCTTCTTTCATGAAACTATGCAGTTCCATATTGGGCTGAGGCACATGTAGAAAAGTTGTGTCAACATAGTATTTGTTCTCTAAAAAAAGTAAGTAAGTTGTAATATTGAAAGCAGATGTTTCTAACAACTGTGAGGAGTTTATTGTTTAGTTATTAGGCACGAATATGATTGTATGATGTATTATCTAAAATGAAGTATCAGTATATATTTCCCAGATTGGTATAGGGTATCTTGAGGGGTATCTCCGAGGGTATTTCAAGTGCATTAAAAAAATAGCCGTTATATATCCTCATTTTATGGGTCAGATAATTTTTACATTCAAAGATGATTGCTACCATTGCATTGAGCTTTCCAGACAGTAAGTCGATGTTTTTACCCTAGCTACTCTCTGTCAGGGAATGTTGCTAATTTTAAAGATTTGAATTTCTTATTAGTTTATTTTTTGGTTTAAACCTCGGTTTGAAGGCTATAAATTTGTTTTTGTACATACTAATTTTTAGTTTGTTGGCATAAAGCCAATTAAGATAATTATCCAGGTCTTATCGAGTCTCCGTCTCTAGCTGTCCTTGATCCAACATAAACCAAAGCTGTATCATTTGCAAATGTGAAGTATCTGGCCCTAATGTTTGCCAATTTTAGAATGAGAAAATAGATGGAGTAAAAAAGTGGCTCCAAAACCGAACCTTATGGTACTCCATAGTTAGGTAATTGATAAAATATCACTTTTGCATTCCTCTTACTAGTCTTACTTAACAAATTGTTGCCTATCAGCTAAATATATACTAGATTCAAAAAGTTTGCCCGAAACCCCAGACGGGACTAATCTTAGGTATTTATGTGGCTTAAAAGTGCAAAGATCTCAAAGACAACAATCAGGTTCAAAGCTCGAAGCTTGAGTACCTAGGTTACTCAAACTCCTTTATTTAGACACAATGGCGGATACAGGGGGGGGGGGGGGGGGGCGCGGGGGCGCCCCCCCCCCCTGAGAGCCTCAAAAACTACTAAAATTTAAAAAAAAAAAATCATAGATACAAAAATTTTATGGAAGACTTTTCCATTAAAAGTTCATGGAAAAATTTTCCAATAAAATGTAATTTTTTTTTCCAAGCTACACTATTGTTCAATTTATTGTTTTGTTTTTATCAGATAAATGTGTTATATTTTTATTTGGAATAGGTATTTTTATTTGTTATTGTCGGTTTTTTGATATGTGCAGGGTTGTCCAATTTGGATACCTTTGATAGAAAACGTCAATTTCTGAGCGAGACACAAAAAAAATCGACCCTCACTCTGTTTCTCAAATTTCATGATATTTTGAACCATTTTGTGGCTAGAGAATCCAGTGACTTTCTCAGTTTTTTTCTATTTGTTCCCGAATTCAAGATATTAACCAGAGTCCGATCGTTTTGATAGGAGACCGGACACCCATATATTAATAACTGTTCGGATAGCTCTGTTTTCGCTGCTTTCAATGATATAAAGTTCGATAGGTTTATCTCTAACAGTTTTCCAGAAAAAAAACATTATTGGTGCGATTCTGTATGCGATGTAACGTACTGTAAGGGATGCAACTTTGAGAGCTGTAAGGACGTAACGAAAAAGAAATTCTGTAACTTACATTGCGCTGTAAAATATTCTTACACCTACTGTAAATTTACGTCGCGGGAAATGGAGACATACTGTTACATTTCTTGATGGCTGTATAAACCAATTTTGGAGTCGCACACTTTTCCATAGTCCTGGAACACCCAAGGCCTTTACAAAAACGCTGATCCGATTGCAATGGATTAACGCGATCACCCAGCTGCTGGTAATTTGTCTGTTTTCAACCGCCTTAATTGAAGAAAGGTGCAAAACCATCAGCCTGTGATCGGGTCGATCCTACCTCAATGGATTAATCGGTTCATGAAGATATGACACCTTCACTCCAAAATATTTCAACTTCAAAAATTGTCAAATGTCAAATTACAAAAATATTAGGTTATGAAGTTGTGAGCGCTATAAATAAAGCTCTGTAACCATGTACTTTACATCAGGCGTTACAGAATACGAGTTTTGGCGTTCAATGTAAGTTTCATTATACATCGGGATATAAACTTACGCGCTTTAAAATTTACAGTGATGTGAGGCGATTTACAGAATAGGCAGATATATCTGTTTCTGTCATAAGAAACAATGTGTTAAAAGAGGACTTTATATCTATAAGGAAAATGAGATAGGTCTCCTTCTAACACAATGGGTGTGTTCCAAGGGCCACAACCGTTGAGACCACTTAGTGAGCGTAACGTTTCAAGTGCCATAACCTTGAAGGCTCAGTCTCAGCGGCTGGCTATTTCGCTGAGCGGAAAAATTTTATGCTCACCGCCGTCCAAACAGTTGTGACATGCGCACAGCTGCTGTTTTTGTTTTTCTGGACATAACCTCATTTTAATTTTCGGGTTTTGTGGCAGTCGGCAGTAGTGATGAACTAATTCCTCCATTCTAACAGCTCTTCAACAGCATAGAAGTGGCACCAAACCAAACAAATTACTAAGAATAAAATAAATTACCATACCAACAACATGTAAACAAAAACAGCTGTAGGGATAACTGACAGTAAGCGCCAGAAAATTAAGCGGAGCGTTCCAAGCGCTTACAACTGTTGAGTGTGAGCTTTTTCCTGCTCAGTTCAGCAGCTTACGGCCATTTGCACCGCTATAACTTAAGGGATATTTAATCTAAGTGGAGCTTTGAATGTGATTCTCGTAGAAACAAAAGTCACATTCAAAAGCTCCACTCAAATTAAATATCCCTTAATATCCCTTAAGTGATAGCGGTGCAAATGGCCATTAGTCACTTAGAACGCGCCCATTGTTTCTTTTGACTGAAACATCTATAGTTTTTTTTTCTTGATAACTGTTAGAGACAGACCTATTAAACCTTATATGTATCATTAAAATAAGCAATAATATTTCAATTGGATTGCAGGTGGTTTAATAGAGATCGCACCTAATCCACCTGCAAGCTAATGCACGGGCTACGTAAATCACCCTGTAGACCTAGGGTTTTTTTTTACGCTGTGTCTAGAATCCCGGTACCGGTAACACTTTTTTTACCGGTAGTTTTGATGCCGTCACCTATATGACGAACTAGGTACCCGGGATTTAAGCAAATCCCGGTAAAAAATGTAGTCGTTGGCGGTTTTTGTTTTATCAAAGTCCAACTCAACCTAACTTTGTATGTTTTTAACTTGTTTTGTTGATGTGTGAACGTAAAGTGGAGTGTTTTCGTGAGTTTATCAACGTGAATAAATAAATAAATAAATTCTTTATTTACGGACATGCCATTTTTACAAAGGTAGACTTAAAGTGTAGGTACACGCAATAATAAATATTTGGAATAACCAGTAGGCAACAGACAAGTTAGTATAAAAAAACAACATTACATAAGCCTAAACAAATATTTTGTAGTAGGTATCAAAACACAAACAACATAATACGCTTAAAATTGAATACAAATAGAAAAAACGATCATTTTAGGATCGACTTTAAAATTCTTTTGAATCTATCCCAAACTTATGTTAAAAACATCCAAATCAGTCTTCAAAATAATATCATTCAGAGAACGACAGCTTCTAAGTAAAGGTGAATGGTAACCATAATTGGTTCTACGAAAATCAAGGTTAAACAATGTGTTTCCTCTTAAATTGCTAGATGGTACATGTAAGCCAATTCTAGCAAGTAAGTCTGGAGAATCAATAGAATTATTAACAATCTTAAACAAAGTAGGACACATATCAAAAAACTGTCGCCTCTGGTTCAGATTTTCAAGATTTAGGACAGACATTAACTCATTATAATTTATAGATTCACTTGGGATGCCCAATCGATATGCAATGGATCTTAAAAACTTTTTTTGGATTCGTTCCAAGTGGGAGATGTGCACAGCATAATAAGGGGACCAGACAGGGCAAGCATATTCTACAACTGATCTAACAATTGCACAATAAATGTTTCTTAGTGTGTAGATATTAGTAAATTCTTTTAGTGACCTGAACATAAAGCCTAGTAATTTCATTGCTTTATTAGCAGTTATTTCAATGTGCTCTGTGAAGCTTACATTAGTGTTGAAATAGACTCCCAAGTCTCTAATAGTTTCAACCCTGTTAATCTCCAAATCATTAAGAACGTAATTATGTAAGTATGGTGTTTTTTTCCGAGAAAAAGTAATAATCTTACACTTCTCAACATTTAAGGGGAGTTTGTTTCTTTGACACCAAGTCCGAAACATATCCAAGTCCACTTGCAATAATTGAGCATCCCTGACATCCCGAACAACCATAAAACACTTCAAGTCATCAGCCAAGAGCAAAAAATCGGAATTTCTGAAGACACCTGACAGATCATTAATAAATATACTAAACAGCAAAGGAGACAGGTGTCCTCCCTGAGGCACCCCCGAGGTCACCGAAAATACTGAAGAGATGTAATTCTCAATTTTTACAGCCTGTTTTCTACCTGTGAGAAGACTTCCAATCAAGCTCAATAGACCTCCATGCAGCCCCACATCGGCCACCTTCTCCAATAGTATCTGATGGTCAACCCTGTCAAAGGCCTTGGAGAAGTCAGTGTAGACCGAGTCAATCTGACACTTATTCTCCAAGCCCTCCAACAGAGCCTCCTCATAGACCAGAAGATTAGTCAATGTAGATCTACCCTTAATAAAGCCATGCTGTTCTGGTACAATAACATGTTTCAAAATTGGTGTAAGAAAATCCGTTATTATAGACTCAAATACCTTAGAAAAAATAGACATTCTGGATATGGCCCTATAGTTTTTAATATTATTTCTTTCTCCACTTTTAAACACAGGAGTTATATAGCTTAATTTCCAGATATCAGGAAACCGTCCCAACTCTAAAGCCTTATTGAATATTTTACATAATATCTCTGAAAGAATACAACTACAATTCTTAACAAATAATACTGGGATGTCATCAGGACCACAACCCAATCCATTCTTCAATGAATGTATCTTGTTAAATATATCAAGAGGGGTAATTTGAACCGAACTGATACTGCAATTAGACAAACTAGATA